AACGCCGGCTCCACCGCCGGGGGGTCTGCGGAGACACACACCGGGTTAGGGGGGGGAGCCAGGCCTAGCGACAGGATTAACTGGGGTTTGTGTTTAGGAGCTGTCCTAGAGACGGGATTGATCCAGGTTCTTGTGTGGGACACTCCTAGGGACAGGATGAACCAAGATTCTGAGTGGGGCCTGTCCTAGAGACAGGATTGATCCAGGATCTTGTGTGGGACATCACCTAGGGACAGGATTAACCAAGATTCTTGAGTGGGGCCTGTCCAAGAGACAGGATTGATCCAGGATCTTGTTCAGGATGTCTCTTAGAGGTAGGATTAACCAAGGTTCTTGAGTGGGGCCTGTCCTAGAGACAGGATTGATCCAGGTTCTTGTGTGGGACACCTCCTAGGGACAGGATTAACCAAGATTCTTAAATGGGGCCCGTCCTAGAGACAGGATTGATCCGGGTTCTTGTGTGGGACACCTCCTAGGGACAGGATTAACCAAGATTCTTGAGTGGGGCCCATCCTAGAGACAGGATAGATCCGGGATCTTGTGTGGGACACCTCCTCGGGACAGGATTAACCAGGATTCTTGAGTGGGGCCTGTCCTAGAGACAGGATTGATCCAGGTTCTTGTGTGGGACATCTCCTAGGGACAGGATTAACCAAGATTCTTGAGTGGGGCCTGTCCTAGAGACGGGATTGATCCAGGTTCTTGTGTGGGACATCTCCTAGGGACAGGATTAACCAAGATTCTTGAGTGGAGCCTGTCCTAGAGAGAGGATTGATCCAGGATCTTGTGTGGGACACCTCCTAAGGACAGGATTAACCAAGATTCTGAGTGGGGCCTGTCCTAGAGATGGGATTGATCCAGGATCTTGTTCAGGATGTCTCTTAGAGGTAGGATTAACCAAGGTTCTTGTGTGGGACCTCTCCTAGAGACAGGATAACCAAGGTTCTCATCTAGGACCTGCCCTATAGACAGGATTGATCCAGGTTCTTGCTTAGGATCTCTCCTAGGTCTGCGGAGACCAGGGCAGCAGGGTGGTAGAGGGTTGAAGCCGGACGTAGGGACAGGATTAACTGAGGTTTGTGTGTGGGGCCTGCCCTAGAGACAGGATTGATCCAGGTTCTTGTGTGGGACCTCTCCTAGAGACAGGATTGATCCAGGTTCTTGTGTGGGACGTGTCCTAGAGAAAGTATTGATCCATGTTCTTGTTTAGGATCTCTCCTTGGGACTGGATTAACTGAGGTTCTTGTGTGGGACCTGTCCTAGAGACAGGATTGATCCAGG